ATTGTACTATAAGAAAGCGTAAATGAGAAAGTAAATATCTTAGAATGATTTGAGCAACAGAGGTCCAACTGCAGAAATCATCCTAGGGTATGCACTTACTCATTAGATCGTAACCATTTATTACTTGGGAACTAGGGTGTGGGTATGGGTGCGAGTGTGGTGGGTGTGGGTGTGGGGTGTGCGTGTGGGTATGGGGTGTGGGTGGGTGTGGGTGTATGGGTGTGAGTGGGTGTGGGTGGGTGTGTGTGGATGTGGGGTGTGAGTGTGGGTGTCGGTTTGGGTGTGGGTGTGGGGTGGGAGGGGGTGGGTGTGGGTGGGTGGGTGTGTATGTGATTCTTCACTTCATCCACACCCACACCCACACCCACCCATACCCACCCACACCCACCTACACCCACGCCCTCCCACCCCAAACCGACACCCACACCCACACCCCACACCCACCCACTCACATGCCCTCACACCCACCCACATTCATACTCTACACGCCACACTTTAAGATAGCTCATCGGTTGGCAATATCAACTAGTCTCAATTTGTTTCTGGCTTCCCCACATCTATATGAAATTTTTTTCTTTTCTGCTGAAGAACGACTATTCAGTGAGCAAGGTTGTGCTTGCAGTCTATTGACAATTAGCTTTTTTTAATTTTTAAAACTCAGCATGCAACGAAAATTCAAGTAAAAAAAACACAATCCGCGCACACTTATGTTCGCATCGTAGGGTTGCTTGTGATTTTATAAAGTGAAAGTTTGATGCAATGCTCTATGTAGTAACGACAGAATCTTTCATGTGTGTTGTGAAATAGTATCTACTTAATCAAGCCCGGGCATGAGTACGAAGAGTTATCGAGATTGCAAATATAGAAGAAAAATGACGTCGACAACCCCATTTTCATTCTGTTTAATGATATTTAAATACCCATTCCCGAGTTTTGCAGTAACAAAATGCAGTTTCATTATTCTTTGCAGTAGTTATAACACATTATTTGTTCTTTCACCTATTTAGAGGTCTTGAAAACATAGAGTTAGGTAGGAAACAAAAGAATTTATTTTTTAACAGTAACGTGATGTCACAATGCTACTTGAATATTTTTAGAAACAAAATAAAGATCAATTTATATCATAGATTTCTTGTTTCATTTACTTTAAAAAAGTGGAAATGTTATGTGAAAGATGAGCAAAATCTCCATATACATGAATACTCAAATTTTTGCTTCATGGTGCCCGAATGTATTGAGGTGCAATGGTGAAAAGGTGCTGTTCTTTGTTTTTTTTCTCTGACATGTTTTGAGTGACTCATTCTTGTTTTTATTTCAAGTCGTAAGAGGCAGACAGACTATTTTCTTTTCATGACATAGATAATTTCTCGTGAGGTATATAAATACATAAGTCGTGTCGAAGTTGTAATTTCGATGAAATGATTTATAGACGTTATAGCTTCGGTACGACATACATATATCAATCTTATTCGCTCTTTTGCTGATTTTAGAGTTTTCATTTTCATACGATCAAATAATAATTGATGTATCACACGGTTCGAATTCGTGATCTATCTCCTACACCAGCAAAAAAATGGGCGAAGTGTTCAGACACTACACAGTTACAAGATGATTATTGGTTGAAAACTATCCAAGAATCTGGAAAGGATCGCTTTGAAATTCGGTATCAGTCCTCCAACGGACCACATTCATACGTCTGTAATCATGGTCATGCTGTATTCGAAGCTTATTTGGCAGCATATAATGCTCATGAAGATATTGTACTTTCGCCAGACGACATCTGGATTATGATTGTCATCTATTATGCAAAATATGTCAATCAAAATGCCGAGCAAATGCGTTCTTTGTTTGTCGATCATCAAAACAAGAAGAAACTTGTTGTTGAGACATATTCGCCAGCTGGTCCTGAGTAAGTAGAATCAGGTTTTAGTGCATATAATATTATTTTCCCAATTCTCTGTAGCTGGCCAGCCTTTTTGACAGGAATGAGAGAAGAAATTGATAAACATGTAAAAAATGATGCAGTCAAATTGTTGACATCGCAATATACAACGACAGGTCCAGTAGAAGCTCTGTTGTCTTGTGCAGGAATCTTACAAACTTTCGAAAAGTATTTTGAATATGAACATTTATGGTGTGGTTGTGGTATTCGTAATGTTCATTTTCTGGGCACTCTTACTGATTGGCAACTTCTACGCAAAAAGACAGAAGAACTGAAGAATTTTACGTTGAGAGATCGCGCTGGAGGATTTTCAGACTACTTAGATGGTGTATTACCTATTCTTGATAAATTCATTTCTACTTATCAAGGAAATGTCGACAATCATTTCTGGGATCATATTTTCGATTACACACATGTACATAAACCAGGACCATCTGGGTAAGCTAATAAAGAAAAATAGTGAGCATCTGCACAATGTAAAGTTTTGTTTGGAATTCAAATCTAATTATCATAAAATGAGTCTCAACAAAAATTTTGCTAGGAATTGAAAAACGTTCTGAGAATTTGAACAGAACCCCACAGTTCTAAAAACAAGTCGTAGTCTTTCAAATGTACCTTCTGAGTATAGAAAACTCTAATTTTTACTTGTGAAGCACTCGATAATTGTAAAATTATTTATCTCTTTATAGCATGTATACAAGGCTCGAGAAGGCTGTTGAAGGTTGGTTTCTTCGTTTATGCTTTGGTTACCATAGATCTGGCGAAAAAGTGTGTTTGGAAGATATCGGACTCAGTTCTATTTCGGTGCCAGTCATACTGAAGGATGCTGTTAACAACAAGGAATCATTGTGCTATGTTGTTGGTGGTTTCCATGGAGTGCATTGCTCGGCAGATGGTAAACACAGACCTATCATGAGTCTGGCAGTTTTCGAAAACGTCACATCTAAGAAGTAAAGAAAATCTAAAGATGAATAAACTACTGTTACGCCGCTTATTCCAGATGCTTATTTCTATATATTTCTTGTCATGAAAAGCTTCTTCAATAAAACGATCTATAAACGCTTAAATATAGGATGTGGGTGTGTAAAAAGAGAAGATAGATCCACACCCACTCACATCCAACCAAAATACATGTTAAAATGACTATTTAGAAAAGCAAAAACAATTACACAATGATGCTCCGGAAAAGTATAAAAGAAATACAGAAATTGTCACACTAATGTCCATTTCAGAGATAAATGACTGCGGGGATTTTTCGAATAAATCTTGACAGAAATGAGATAGAGACCTGCGGTTTTGGCCATTGGAAAGAGCAAATGAAAATACATCGAATCATATAAAGAAAGCTTGTTCTAACAACTCTCCTGAAGGTTTTAGTTAAACGTTTTCAAAGAATTGCATTTTTCTCCGACATTGAGAAAGTAATTTTCCTATCGAAATACCACAAAAAACCTCCACTTTTCGACTATTTTGTTGAAAAACTGGGTAGTAAATTGCACTTCAGTGGCCAATAAATTAATATCGTAATCATCAGAGGCATGTTGTTTTCTTTGAAGCCTTACATTAAACCGTTAGAAAAGTCTTTCTACATATGGTTTCGATACATTTTCGTCTGATCTTTCCAACGATGAAAATCGCAGATCTCCATCTCGTTCCTATCAAAAGATATTTGAAAAATACTGACTGCAATTTATCTCTGAAATGGACAGTAGTAGTAGGCTCACTGTAAACCAGTACTCGTTTCCGTCAGTAACGGAAAAAAAACATTTCACGGTACTAATTTGCAATCGTTCCACATGATTATTTTTATTATTTCCGTTAAATACCTGTTTTAGAATACCACTTTTCTATTTTTATAAGTGATTGAACACTTGTTTGTAATTAGTGTAGAAAACTGCTTTTCATGTCAGAAGTCCAGAAATGACATTGTTTTCCATTTGCGATTCTTTCATACATATTTTACAGTCATTTTTTTCATTATTGTCACTGTCTGAGTGCTAATTTTCTGCTAAAGACCAAATTGTTCAATATCAACTTACCTGCTTCGTACTAAGAGAATACAGAAAAAGTGGAATAGTTCAACCTTTTCTGTTGCGGATCAATGATCTATTAAACATAGATGATAGGGATTTTCGTATGCACGATAAATTGGCCTATACAGCGAGACTATTTCGTCGAAAGACGATCGAATTCATGTGGTGTGAGTCTTCTATGCCACAATATTAATGTTTTTTTTAATGTATAGTTGAACTTCTATGTAGGTACCATAAAACAGAATTCATGATTTGAATTTCTTTTATCGTTATAGGCTATTTCAAAACTAATAAAATGACCGACATCAGAATGGGGAACTTATTTCTTACTACTTCATATTTAGAATTGGTTTTTCGAATAATTCTTCATGTTCGTCGTATCTGCAGAGCACTCTATGCTATTGTTAACCCTTATGATCGGTTTCAACTTATATTCAGATGCGATTGATTGAATGTCATGAAATATATTTCTTTTATTATTCCTCTAAAAAAAAATTATTTTAGTTACAATTGTGAATCACCATGAGTGTCGATTTCAAATATAAGAGAATCATATGCACACACAAATCCACACTTCACACGCTGTTCAGTCAAGAATATTATGATAATAGTTCGCTCATCGCTAATTCTGTCTTTTATTTACGTCTGTAAATTCTCAAGTAAGTCAAAACCATTTTGTGATTCCAGCTGAACTGTCTCGGCGAGCGAATTGTTCTGTAACGTAGTTGACGAACCGATACTCTCATGTGTACTAATAACAGAGAAACTTTCTGAAAGTTGATCCAAAGTCATGGTTGTGTGACGTTCCTGTGATCCTGCATTCGCCAATGTGTCATCATCATTCACAGTAAAAGAATCACCACCAAGTATTTCATAAACTTTTTCCAATCGTTGTTTTGTTTGTTGTAATTGTTTTCGTTTATTTCGAATAAACGTGTCTTCAGTCAAATATGTATCAACAAAGTCATTTTGTTTAATAGGCAATTGTCTTAAACAATCTCCTATGCCACTACATACATCAAAAACACATCCACCACGTAAAGATAATGCTGCATAATCAATAAAACGTTTGACTAATAATTTCCAGTAGGCATATATACTGACTAACATATCTTGTACGGATTGATCATCATTAGAAGCCGAGTCAAACATTAATAAATCATCTTTATCTGTTGTCGACGGAGAACCCATTTTATTTGTTGAATTTTGTGCTCTTTTTTGCGCTAAATATTCTTTAAATTTCGTAATAGTCTCCATATAATAATTATTCAATGTATATGGCATATGTTTTTCCAATCGAATGAGTTCTTTGAGTTGATCGTTTACTGCTTGCTTCTTTTCGTCCAAATACGAAATACCAATCTTACGAAAGATTGGCAATAGTTTTAAGAGTAAAATATCATCATGACATTTTTCATGATCACTTTCTAATAAAGTATTCTTTGTTTTTTGAAAACAATCATTAATGAGTAAAATTACTACCGACCAAAGTTGATCAATTTTTTCCTCTATTAAATGCTGTAGAACAGGATGTGGAAGAAAATTTGGTAGTTGCTCACCAAAGCATGCTGCCATAGCTTCTCGTACTTTAAAACGATACCTTTCTGTAAAGAGTTCATGACTTTGCTCAAGAATAATCTTTTCAAATTGTTTGAATTTCTTATGTAAATGATTGACTAAACTACTAGGATGTCGACCATCATTGTACATTGTAAAATGGTTTTTGAGAATTTTTTCGATATAAAATTCTGCTAATTCATAATATTTTGCTAATCGTGCTGAAGCAGTTTCTAAACTTGGTGGAAGCTTTTCTAATTGTTCACGAGTTTCTTTCAGCTTTTTTTGTACATCATTTTTCATTTTTGGAAAAACTTCACGAACACGATCAGAATAAAGATCAGCTAAACGATTAATTAATGCATCAATACCAAGACAATGTGATCCAACAAGAGTTGAAATCGGATGTTCACGAAAAAATTCTCTTTCACGTTTACGTGCATCTTCGAGAGAAATCTTTTCATCTGTACTTCGATTACGAACAGCAATGAAACCTAATTTTAATTGGAATACATCCGATTTTTCCATCAGTAATTGTTGAGCTAATGCAGTGTTATCTGGAGCAAGATCAGATTTGGTTATAACACCGATGGTTCGGCTACCTTCAGAATCAAATTCACGTGCTAATGCGAATGATTCAACAGTTGCAATATCCACATTGGCTGGACAGACACATAGAATAACACTGCCTTCTCGACGAATAAATTGACGAATCAAATTGGTTGTTTGCTCATGAATGTTTTGTGGTTGATCGGCAATAGGATTTCGAGCTATTCCAGGTAAATCAACTACAGTTAAATCACGTACATTCGGATCTTCAACTTGCAATTCAATTAAATCATGAACAACATTTTTATTATTACCAGCTAATTTTTTTGTTTGTTCTTCAATATAATGTAAAATATTTAATTTTGACTCATCCAATTCAACTTTTGGCTTATCATTATGTAAATGATAGACTCGTCGTTCATTGGCTTTGCGTAATCGTAAAACAAGTGGACATCTTGTAATAATACCAGAGCCTTTTGGAAGTTCAACTAAGGATAATGCTTCTAATAGAGTTGATTTACCACTAGACTGATCTCCAACTACAATCACATTGGGAAAAATAATGCCATCATTACTTGATGATAAAATGGCTCGAGCTTGATCTATTTTATCCATTAGGGGACGAATTTTTTCGTCATATGCATTGACAAATGTATCCATCGTTTTAACTTCGTGTTGTGGACTGTAAAGACAAAATATGGGAATATGAGTAGAAATTCTCCGAATGTGTTTCATTTATGGATGTAACTGATAAAATAGATCCAAACGAAAGAATTAATGAAATCCAGAAATAATGTGATCTCGTCAGAACTGGAAAACTCAATGTTAATATTCAAAAAAAAAGGTGGTTAAACTTGTCAAATGTCTTGTTTATATACAGCTTCAAGCATCACATCGTTCTACGGATATTGGAAAACTTTAACATACAAAATGAAATATGAACTGGACTATGATTGCAATCGTACTACCAAGACATATCTCTGCTACATCTAAGCTTAGATTTAAATAAAAGTTAAAATAAGAAAAATTTTTATTTTATATGTATGCATCGAACAAATAGAATTGGAGAGTGTGGGTGTGCGTGTGGGTGTGCGTGTAGATGAAAAGAAGACCCACACCCGCACTCACACCCACACCCCACACCCCACACCTACACCCACACCCCACACCCACACCCCCACCCACACCCCACACCCCACACCCCACACCCACACCCATGCAACACATCAGAGGAAGGAGAGAATATTATGAAGTCATTATACAGTCACAGAAAGAACAGCAAATGTTTGAGAAGAATATATATTGCATCCAGAAAATATATGTCATATGACGATAGGAATAGTCTATAACTTTGATGTATAGCAAGTTTCATCATGTGAGTGTAAACAAAACATACTGTCTGCCGAGTAAATAGGTGGTACAGCTCTTGTGCTATGATCCTCAAAGAGTTATTAAATCTTTACTCATTCTAACAAATCTGAATGTTTATCTCTCCCAGTAGCTACAAGATCACAAATACATTTCATTTTATACGACTTTTGCTTGACTGAAGAGAAAGAATCTCATTTTTGGTTAGACCATTCTTTGACCAATGAAGGCTTCAATCGAAAAAAGTGACATCGCACTCCGATACCTCAATATCGATAATGTACCAGAAATTTTTCTTGCCACAGGTACGTGCCAACACGTTTCACCTTTTTTGTACGTACCTTCCTATATCGAGAGAGTATCGTTATTTTCTCAATAAAACTCTTTCCTTAATCGAAGAAGCCAAACTCAAAATCTTAAGGAACTAACTTTAGATCCAGATTGCTCGACCTTGGTCTACTTTAATGAGGCTTTGTAAAAGGCCCCTGACTCTACACGTTCCTGTAAAGGTACAAAATCAATTTATTTCATATAACTCCTACTTTAGCCAAGAGAAGAACAAGTATCATTCACTTTACTTTGTAAGTTTCTATTCTATATGGAGAATACATCCTATTCCGCCCTCGGAATTAGTTCCATTCGATTCCGAAATTCCAAATCGTCGAAAAAACTCGCTTTATTCGAAAACGATCGAGTTCCTTCCAATTGCGGAATTACCAGAATTCCGGGAATTAGATCGAAGCGGAATCACACGGAATCGGATGGAATTAACACCGAGTCCCAGCGATTCCGTCGAATTCCTTTCGATTCCGGAATTAGGATGCAATTTCCGAATGCGACGGAATGGATGAGAATAGATAGCAATTCCCGGAATTCCGTGTCACCCTCATCCACACCATGCCTTGTGTAGTCATAGATAAATATCTAAAATAAGTGAGCGATTCCGGAACGGAATTCTGGGAATTAGATCGAAGCGGAATCAGACGGAATCGAACAGAATCACCACTGATTCCCAGCGTTTTCGATGAGTCCTTTCAATTCCGGAATCAGGATGCAATTTCGGTAATTCCGGAATCGGATGGGACTGATTCCGAGGACGGAATCGATTCCGCAATGTCCAACATCGCAGAATACGATGACTGCTCTCTATATGTAGTTTTTTCTTCAAACTGAAGTGCCAGTCCACTACTAGACTTCCCTATACAAGAAAACAGATGTTGCATCGAACGATTACTGTTAAGGGTTTTACACATGCGAAACATTCTGGTTCTTGAAAATCTCAAACAGTTTTAGAAGTTGAATCCCATAGAATTGGCTTATTCTGCTCAGAAGGATAAAGGTAAAATTGAAATTTTTCATTACTAACCTGTTATTGATAATCGAAAGTATGAAACAAGAATATTTCCGCTGGTGAAATACTATTGTAGTTTGCTTGATTCTGGTTCGGTCGAATATTAGAATGAATACCTATAGAAGGATGTCAGCTTTCTGCAAGACCAAAAATAAAATGACATCTGCTGAGATTCATAAAATGCTAGTCGTATTTATAGCTGATGTGCACTGGGAAAAAACCCAGTCAATCCCTTCTGTTTTTTATGTTCTTTCTATACATACCGACCCATTCAAATCTCCATTAACAACAAATGCAAATAAAAACAAAAACATTATAAATCAAACGTCTTTGTATTGCTACTCAAAAAGCATTGTGTTTCTGATGAACGAGATAAAAATCAAAAAGAAAGACATAACTGCTGTACATAATATTTTCTTTAACACTTACTTCAAACAGAAATAAAAAAAGAAGAGATTCCAGCTTTCTGGGTGCGCGTAGCTGTGGGTACGGATGGGTGTGGCGTGTGGGCACGGGTGTGAGAGTGGGGTGGGTGCGTGGGTGTGGGTGGGTGTGGCTGTGGTTGTGTATGGGTGTGTGGGTGTCGGTATCGGCGTGCGTGTGTGTGGGTATGGGTGTGGCTGTGGGTGTCGGTGTGAGTGTGGGGTGTGAGTGTGGGTCCGTGTCAATGTGGGTGTGGGTGGGTACGGGTGTGGGTGTGGGTGCCTGTGGGTATGGGTGTGGGATGTGGGTGTGTATGGGTGTGTGGGTGGGGGTGGGGGTGGGTATGTGCGTGTGGGTGTGGGTGTGGGTGGGTATGGGGTGTGAGTGCGGGGTGTGGGTGTGTGTGGGTGTGTGGGTGTGGGGTGTGGGCCTGGGTGTGTGGGTGTGGGTTGTGAGTGTGGGTGTCGGTTTGGGTGTGGGGGTGTGGGTGGGTGTGGGTGTGGGTGTGGGTGTTGATGTGGATGTGGATGTGTGTGTGATTCTTCACTTCATCCACACCCACACCCCACACCCACCCACACCCACACCCTGTTGATGACTTCATCTAAACAATTGATGATGAATTCTTATTATTTCTCATTGATCTAACTTTAAAGACATGACATATTGAATTCATTTCGATGTACGTAGACATCAACATGATGATAATTAACTAGCTCAAAGAATCATCTTCATTTATTGCAAAGCAAACTAAATAGTGTTTTGAAAATGAACTGTTGTATAACTTTTTAGTGAGTAATTCGATTTGATCAGTGGTAAAAGTTTCAGTTCTTAGTTTTATATCATGGAGAATACTTTTCAGATATGATTTATTCCAGTAGAGCTTGTTAAGTAAACTTAAGTACATTGTTAATTGTATGAGACTACTCATTTTCAATGCAAATCTAGAAAACTAAATTAAATGCTTTTAATAAATTAATTTTTATCATTGTATTAATCAGAAGTGAATTGTATGATGAGTATTTCTTGTAATATTCAAAAAAGTATCAGAGTACCTTGATCACTTCACACAGATAGGGAGCGTAATACAATGTATTGTTATAGCTTACTTACAGTTTTTTGTTTCAATCTCAGCAAAATAGTTCCACTTCACTTATATCAGCTGTATATGTCTGCTCTATTAAGATCAAGAATAACTATTTGTTCTTCGTGCATGAGACTGCGTGCTGCAACTTCTTCTTTATCATCAAGTTTATAAAAGTTCTCTCAATTTAAAAGTACTTGAAGAAGTTCGCTCATTGGTACATGACATTTATATCAATTACAATATAAAGTTATTAACTGTAAATAATCCATCTTGACGGAAGTTGTTGACTTTTTCGGAAGGAAGATATTTAACCTCAAATCTTACAGTTTTGATCATTAGAATCAATAGAAATATCAATTCTTAAGTACTTTTCAATGCTGACATACATTTTTAAGATAATGTCCTGGAAGATATAACATTATCATACGTTATTTTGAAATCGTCTTGAAACATTATGCCACACACAAGCCAATGAAAGTGATTAGACATCTTCGAATATTAATCGCTTATTACAATAGAGTCATATTCAATAGATTTATTTTATTTCTTATGATTTTATTGAAAGTTAAAATGAAGGAATTTACTCTTTAGAAAATGAGAAAGCTTATTGTTAAAATCAATATGAGCAATAATCAAGTTAATTCATCATTTCTTCTCATCATACTGACAAGCTAACAAAGAAAAATTCTTCTTCATATTCAATACAAAACTTTCAGTTGATGAATAAGTTTAAATGAGCTAGTAGTACTATTAGTAACATTGTATCGAATTGTAAAATCATGATTAGAAAATGACAACTTGAATATTTTTCATTTTATGATTCGTAAACTAGCTGATGATACTTGGTAAGTCTCTATTTGAAGAATTCTATTATTTTGAAATTATTTGATTGTATATTTATTTTTCTTATAATTGAACAAGTAAAAAAGTTCTTTTCAGTTGTAATTTGTTCAAAAACATGTAATGTATCGATTACTTATTTATTGTTCAATGGATTTTTACCTTCTGTTCATACAGTTAACATTGAATTACATTCATGAACTTTTATTACACAAAACATTCGTTCTTAATCAAACTCTTCGTCATATTCAGATTGTTTTACAAACAATCGATGATTTATATATATTACTTGATGGACTTGTACCAAATATTGAAACAATAAGTGTTGAATTGCGCCAGGAACGATTGCTTAGCGATATGTTTCGAAAATCAAATTAATGTTGAAAGATGAATAACGTATTGAATCAGAGTTCATTTTTTTTTCATTATCACAAAGTTGAAATGTTTAAAAGCGATATTTCTAAATTGATAATCTTGTATATGTGTTCAGTTTTATTAACTCTAACACAATCACTTGAAGTTCATACAATGAAACTATTCATTTTAAATACATATATGTTCTAGTGAAGATTAGTAGAGTATGCTAATAAT